GGGCTGTGCCGTTATGTCCAGCTCTCTGAAGCGCCCCTGTGTGACTGCTCCAGCCTTGCCTCCCCGGGGACGGGCTGGCTCTGTGGGGCAGGACCCGGAGGGACTAAGCGGCACATCCCTGGGGAGCAGCTGCTGGGCTCGCTGCCCTGCTCCGCTCTCAGGCTGCGGTGTGCTTGTTGCCGGTCACCCGGGCTCAACATAGCCCAGGGCCCCTGTTCAGCCCTGCTGTGACCTCCCCTGAAGGCAGAGGAAGAAGCTGCGTCCAGGATCAAGACGTTGCCCGCTTAGGACCAGCTCTTGCTGGGTTGGGCCCCTGCTCAGCTCTGGGATGAGCTGGAAGGATGGCTGAGCTGTCCGAGGAGCTGGATGTGCTCAGAGCTCTGTGGGGGGGGGTGAGGGGCAACGTCAGCCCTGAACTTGCTGCATGGAGCAAGAGCTGGCAGCCTCCCTGCAGAGAGGTGGCCCGGAGCCTGGGTCTGCCCTGTCCCCCGCCTGGTACTGCTCCCGAGAGGCTTTTGCTGGGGCTGCCTGCCTGGTGCGTGCCCCAAACCCCTCCCTCTGCTGACTTCTTACCCCCAGTGATGGCTGATGAGCTCAGTGACCTGCTGCGGGAGTTTGATGAGGTGATGGAGGACTTTGACAGAGGCCCCGCGTGTCAATACGAGCAGCACCTGGAGGAGCTGAAGAGGAAAGCGGGACACAGCGTGTACGACAGTGGCATTGATGAGCTGGAGAGTGAGTCTGGGGCTGGGGAATGAGGATTCCTGGGGGAGGACGGTGTCCATCGGGATGGAGTTGCTTTGGGAGCTCTGGGGTTCCTCTGTGGTAAACCGGGGAGCCTCCTGTTTTTCCTGCCTCTGAGTTGCCCGCCTGACTCATCTCTCGAGGGCTGGATTAGGAGCATGGGACGATGATGGGGGATCATCACCTGATGATCCTGGCCCAGGGCCTGCCAACATTTGCTGGGGCTTCTTCTGCTGGGTTGGCTGCTGCAGGACTGCACGAGGCTTGAGATAACCGGGAGCTCAGAGGGAACCAGTTCGCTGTAATAACCCTGAGGAGTCCCCGTGGCCGTGCCCAGGCAACCTCTGGTGCTGTTTGGCCTGGCAGAGAAGCTCAGTTCCCTTTTTCC